GGGGGGTTACCGCCGCGCAAACAATTTGGGTAGGTGCATGTATATGTGCATTCTTCATTCATTAATATGAATCTCCTTTCTCTTTATTTATTTTTTCTCCTCATTTTAATATATATATTTTTTTTTTATTTTATTTGGAGAGAAGGGAGTGGCAATGTATCTGCCTAAAGATTATTGTAATTCGTACCTTTGTTTAAATATTTCATAATTTTTTTTTTTTCATTTCTCTTTGATTGTTTGTTTGTTTTTCTTTTCCTTTTTTTTCTTTTTGCTTTATATTATATATATATATATATATCTCAAGTACAAACCACACTTTTATTCCCACAATGATCTACTTCTCTTTATCTCTCTCTCTCTCTCATTACACAGACACACAAAGAGCTGATATGCCCCCTTTTCATTCTTATATATTTATAAAACTAATGTTTTAATATTGTTTCTCCCATACCAATAGGTAAAAGAAATCTCATTTTTCTCTGTTTATATATATATATATATATATATTTGAGTATCCGTATTCTTTTACCGTTTCTTTTCCTTCTTCACATTCTCCTTTCCCGTGAGCATAGAGAATAGACGAACAAAAGATTTAAAAAAAAAAAAAAACTATTAGATTTCTCCTCGTATTTTCCCAAATCTTCTCTTGAAAAGATAATTAAGGCTTCTTCACTGCTGCTGTTGCTGCTGCTTGTTGTTGGTGTTGTTGCTGTTGTTGTTGTGCATTTCGGGTCTCAACAGAGCGTCGCAGTTTGTGGAACATACTCTCTAGGAATGGCGTGCTGTTGATGAAGCTCTTCTCCCAGAATCCATACTCTGGGGCCCGCATGAGTTCCATAAAGGTGCTGAGTACACCCCATGGATGGGGTTGAATGATGAGAGTCTTCTCCACCGCCACTCGAGTGATTTGTTCCTGAATACACTGCCGAATGACTGGATTGCGAATGGATGGATGTGGGAGGAAGAGCTGCGAGATTACCTTCACAAAGAAGTTGGTCTGACAATTGGGATAACGCAGATGATTAGCGCAGGAACAAATAAAGTGATAACGGTGTTGATGGTCAAGGGCGCTAGCAAGATAGCAGTAGAAGAGCATAGCATTAGAGTTTACAAAGTCTGGTTTTACCACAAGTTCCGTGGAGTTCAGGTATACAATACAAACATGCAGCACAATGGCATTCATCAAACGCCAATGTGAAACCGATTGTAATTTATCCACAACACTCTGCATATAGGCTTCATCAATAGGACGTTCATCCAATATCTTCTCTGAGAGTTGATTTCCATCAAAGCCATGTTGACGGAAAGTTTCCGCAATGCATTTCTCTTGATCATCTGTACTGAGTGGTTTTCGCATCTCAGGGCTGTCGTCTGGTACACGCAGGTAGAATTCCGGCAATTTTACACCTGATGGGAAGGAGCAAAGTACAGTATTCAACAATTGAACACAATATGGAGGAATAGCATCACAAAGTTGATAATGGTAGGTAATAAGGAAACGTGAGTAATCATGTGTGAGAACAAGCATTAACTTAAAAAAGGCCTTATAAAATACCAAAATATTCTTTGGAATTGTACCATCACGAGTAAAGTATTCAATAAATTCCAATCCTTCCACCAATAGTGCAACATAATAGGGCCATTGGGCCGTATTTCGTAAACAACGATTTAAAAAGACACGGTGACTGACAAGTTCTAACCATCCAAAGGCAAAGGCAGGGTATTTCATAGGAGATAATCTATACAATAACTCTGCAAAGGCGTGGGTAATGTGTTCAGTAGTTTCACGATTGGGTGCATCTACCCGTACCAAAGTTGTAAAGAGATTACTGAAGAATCGAACATATGGTTGTTGTTGAAACATTGGTACAAAGGCGGTATCCGGGGGAAGATCTCCTTTCGCAGTGGATTGATTTTGATGTTGTAACTGAGACACCACATTTTGATGATGATCAATAAGAGCACGTTGAAAAGCATCAAAAATTCGTCGTAGTAATGAAAGTAATTGTCGGGCATCATTCTTTAATGAACAGTAATAAAGTAATACAGTAGCCAAATCTGAAAAGGCATCCACTTTTGTAAAGAGAGCACTATCATATGGATATCGGTGTGGTGGGGCATTCCCTGGTTTCCATTCAGCGGTGAGTGCATGCTTCAGCATTGCCTGATTAGCACGTTCCAATTCCAGTGACTTTGTGGCATAGTGTTCCACGCAAAATCGAATAGAAAGAGTGAGGAAGGTACCAAGTTGATGATTATCCAATTGTCCTTGTTTACGTAATGTTAGTATATACTCATATTGTGGAGGATTTCTGCTGGCTGGGGCGGTCGTCTCTGTTGTGGATGCAGTTGAGGAAGATGTATCTGTTGTTGTTGTTGTTGTTGCTGTTGTTGAAGATGATGTTGTTGTGTTTGTGCTTGTACTTTGTGTTTTGCGTCCATTTATTGTCATCCACTCCTCAAATAAACGTCGTACCTTTTCTACCTCTTCTGGATCATATTGTAACTGAGATGGAATAACCAATTTCCGTACACGTGGATCATCTACCAGAGATGAAAGTGGTGTATACGTTTTCATAATAATTGGTTGGTGTGTATTGGCTACCGCAGCATTTGTTCCAGACGATGTCGCTGTTGCTCCTGCAGTTCCCTCTGGATGATGATGATGATGTCCTTGTTGTTGTTGTTGTTGTTGGGCGTGTTGTTGTTGCTGCTGTTGTTGCTGTTTTGCCTGTAATTGCTGCTGTTGTTGTTGTTGTTGTTGTTGACGGGCGTTGTGAGCACCTTGTGTAGCGGCAATAGATTCCAACTGCATCAGTGTTTCCTTCAGATCTTTGGTAATAAGTAATTTCTCCTGAATGATGGTACTTTTAATCATTTCTCCACCAAAGTCTGATACTTGTTGTCTAGTATTAACATTTTGAAGGGCCTTGGAGAGAGCCTCATCAAACTTTGCCACATCTAATACTTTAATACGTAATAGATTGGTGGCGAGAGCCGAATAACGCCAACGGGCATCATCTTGCAAGTAAAGTTGTGTGAGTTCCTCTCGTACAGGCTCTCCACCATGTTTAAGGCATGTTTGCAGAACAAAGAGATAGACTTCATTCAGAAGACTATATACATTGGAGTGTCGAATCGTATTAGGATCATCCTTTGCACCTGTGGAATTCACTTGTTTCATCGCATCGGCAAGTAAAAACAGTCTACGTAAGACATATCCCACACAATAAATAGCCGTTTCACTTGTAATCATATCCGAAATATCAATTACTCGTGAACGTATTGTTTTGTGACTCTCTCCATAAGATTCATCTGTAAATTCAAGACTTGTGAGAGAGAGTACCACACAGTTATCGGCAGAATAATGTTGTACTGTGGCATCCTCAATAGCTCGTAAATGGGCTGTCAGTAATTCCACTATTGGGAGATTATTACTGAATTCTTCATATACAACCCGTTGAAGGGCAGGGAGTGAACGTGGTGGACGGAGTACATCACCCATCTGAAGAAGAAATTCCTGCATATCCCGCTGTTCCACCGGTAGAGTTGGGATCTCACGGTTATTAAGAGCATCCATTTTCTTTTTAATAACTGGTAGTAGTCTCTCACGTAGTTTCTTTACCGCCTCTTCAGCTGCCTGATACTCCTGCACACGTACGCAGAGATCAAAGTTATTTCCTCGAATGGCTTCACGTAATTTATGACGTCTTTCAGCCGCATTCGGGCTATTCACGGGAATAGCACTTTCACAGAGTGGACCAATGGCTTTATCTATTAGTTGTCCCAAGAAATCACGAACCAGTATGGTACATAGATTAGCGGCTAAAGAACGGGCCATAGATTCTCCAGCACGTAACATGGCTGCTGGATCGGGATCAAAAAAGAAATCTTTCGTTACAATGCTGGATGATGTTTCTGAGGCAATGAATGCGGCTCTATGAATAGCCGGACTTGCTTCCTGGATAACATTATTCAGTAACTGGGCAAGGGACATCCTGTATAACGGAAGATTGGAAAAGTAGATCTTATCCTCCTCACCTACTCGAACCGTTTCTGGGGTAATAAGAATAGGTGGACGTCTCATCATGGAAGGAGGAACTCCTGCCATTGCGGCGTTCGGTACTGCCATATGATCCTTTGGTTTAAATGGTTCTGCACTAGCTTGTAGTTGACGAGTCACACGTGGTTGTTGTTGTTGTTGCTGTTGTTGTTGTTGTTGCTGTAATTGCTGTAGTTGTTGTTGTTGATGTAATTGTTGCTGTTGTTGTTGTTGTTGCTGTTGTTGATGAAGTTGGTGGTGTGGATGTTGTTGTTGTTGCTGTTGTTGATGTTGTAGTTGTGATGGCTCCTGATGTTCCTTCTCATCCACACGGAAATCACCACTTTGGTGTACATTGATCTCATTATACACATCCAACATACTCACATGTGTAGAGGAGTGAATTGGGTGTAACATATAATATTGTTCAATATCCGCTAATGAGACATCCATGTGTTTACAGAGAACTTCAACTTCAAATCTTAGTGTAACCCGTAGGTGTTTAAGATTATACATTTCCCATAGTAAACATAATAATCGCATGGTCCATGGATTTGGTGGGCAAAAGAATCGTGAAGACATACAATGATGAAGTACACGTGCAACACATGATACTACAGCCATAAGTTTCCCTTCACGTAAACCCATAAAGAGAAGATCCTTAAAACTGAGTTCTTGCATAGTGATGGGAATATTCTTTGCAAGTGTAAGTAATCCCAACCAGTATCCAAGATTTTTTAATAAACTACGTTCTCCAGGGTCTGCACGAATTTTATCAGAACTTAGTAATCGTTTAATAGAAGATACGGTTGCAGCTCTTATAGCCTTTTCCAATTGTCTAGATTGTAATTTCTCCAAGAGATCCAGATAAATATTATGATAGTTAGGTTCAAGAGCTGCTCGCTTTACAACGAGATACTCTGCAAAGTACTCATAGTACTCAGGACGCAATTGTTTTGCTAACTCACGAGCATTATTTTCAATATTATGCATATCTGTATTTCCAATAAGAAAGTTAATTTGTTCTTGAATAACACGTGGTGGAGCTGTAATATTCTTGCTAGAGAGAAGCGTACCAATATCATGTTGATGTAATGTCGCCGCAGCGGAACGTTCCTTTTGTTGATCTGCCGTTTCTCGTCTTTCTGTACTGACGGCAACTACTGCAGGATCCGCAAGAAGAGGATCTGTATCTTTCTTAGATTGTTTATCAGACTGTTGTGGTCTATTTTGCATTTGCCTTGAAGCCTCTTCCGCTTTAATTCCACGATTAATAGCTGCCATAATACCTGGAATTTTGATATCAAGATCCTTCACATGACGTAAGGCTCTACCGTATTGAGGCCAATCTGCCAATCGTGGTTTAATCTGTTCCAATGCGATGATTCCATACTCTTCCATGATATGATCTGTGGGTTTTACAATAACAGGAAGAAGTAAACTCCATGCTCGTTGTTGTTGATTATGTGGTAATAATTCCCGTGCGATCATTTGACCATAAAGGGAGGCAAACAATTGAAGTTCCTTATGTGGATAACATCCAATCGCCCCACGTTCCTCAAACATGATACTTACAATACAAGCATAAAGTTGTTTATCACGTGTTTTACTACTTTTAAATAATTGTTCAATAAGTGCAAGTGAGGCGGCATTAGATGGATCTCCAATAGCGTACATTCTCTTATAAAACTCTGTCGCATCATTCTCTACATCTGCTGGGAAAAGTGAATCTGATGAAGCCAAGAGTACACGTGCTTGTTCTGCCACATCTCGAAGGACATCTTTTAGTGAAGAATTTAAAAGTGTATTAAGAGCTGTGGTGGCATTTTGAACATACTTTTGTTTATCCAGTAATTGTTCGGCCACTTCCACTATAGACATGGCCACGGCAAAGCGATTTTCTGCGGCATTTGCGCGGAAGTGTAATTTACCCTCCAATGCCTTACTGATCCATGTTTCTCCTGGTTCAACAGACTCCTCCATACACATAGCAATAGCCGTTACCAATCTCGGATTACCACCACCAGCGAGAAAAGCTTTTACGGTACTTTTTGATTTTAATACCGTTTCCATCACTTCAATCGTACGACTGGCGTCTACAATGGTGAGTTCCGATAATACCGCAATCACCGCATCTAAACAACTGCGGCGTTCTGCCTCTGGCAGTACAACCGCAGCCACACGGTCCAGTGAGAGCCAACGTTCTTTTAGGATGAGTTTCGCCGTACTGAAGTTCTTCACCGTACCAGGAAAGGTACCAAAAAGAAGAATATAAAAGAATAAAAGTGGATATTTCTGAGCCGCAGGACGAAGTGTCTCCACATCAAATGTACGATCTCGACTGGCAACATGTATGGCCGCTTCCACAACAGGGAAGAATCGCCACAACTCCGCATCTACAGAACGTGTATTACCTGTAGCTGCTGTTGCTGCTGCGGCTGTTGTGGAGGTTGGAGTAGTGACGTTACTAGTAGTAGCACCGCCTTCTAATAACTCCGCTGGTGCCATTTGATCACGAGGCATTGATTGCAGTGAAACCTTTTCTGGATGTTTTAATATATACTCCAGTGCACTGCGTTGACGTCCAACATTACTCCAACGTCCTAAGAATATAGGGAGTGGTGGATAGGCGCTGGAGGATCCACTACCTTTAAATTTATAATAGGCATCAAATACCACAGAAACGTGTTTTTGTTTAAATGCCTCCTCTCCAGGTTTATCCAGCATGTGTAGAATTGTATCCCAGTCCATTTTTGTTTGACTACGTTCTTGCAATAATTCCAGTAATGGAATGGGAGAGATTGTAGCGCTGTGTTGTCCTTTAGTTGGTTCTTTCCCCACAGCAGCCATAAGAGCATTGTATGTATTCACATCCGATGGGGCACTTCCTTGCGAAGCGAAGAAGCCAAGCACACCAGCCACATCAGCCTCTGTAAATGGATGTGGAAAGAAACTCAAAAGTTCACGACAATCCGCTTGTGTGGCTACACATGCTGTGCCAAGTTCACCAATGATTTTAGATAAACTAACACGAGTATCGGGAGTTCCATCATGTGGAAAGAGTGTGATATTACTACCTCCACTGTTACTACCACTGCAGAGACTTGTGAGTTGGGTATCTAAGGCTTCTAGATTTCCCGCCTGTCGAGCTAATATACTGAATGTCCATAAACTTTCATTATCCTCCTTTTTAAGTGTGGATGGTGTAACTCCAGAACTGCTTAAAAATTGTGATGCCGCCTCTTTCCCTTTTGTACTACCAATAAAAAGTGCCATAGCGAACTGTAATCTTTGCATAGGTGTAAGCTTTAAATCGGTTGTCATAAGGGATGTGAGGGATTCCTTTGTGATGGTTGTAGGAGACTCCTCCACTGCAGCCGCAACAATTGTAAGAGCGTTACTTTTCTCCAGTGCCGCGGTAACGAGTTTAGAGGCGAGTAGACATTTTTCTTCATTTTGTGAGGATTTCCACATGGCGGAGATCGCCGCAGTGATGATGTAACGATGCAGTTCCACTGATTGGGTGGCCATCTTCTCTAACGTCTGCAGTGTTGTCTGCAAAGTGCTCTTCGTAGCTGCTGCTATTAAATAGCGAACCGCAGCTCCACGAGAGCTGCTAATGTCGATGGTATGTTCATACATCATTGCGAAATACCAAGAAGATAGAATTACTATGTTTTCTTTTTTAAGAGAAAGATATATATATATATCTTATACTTCTCTCTTTGTTACTTCCTTATTGGATTGTGTGTGTGTTTGTGTGTGTGTGTGAATAACCTATCCTTGTGTACACACCCACTTTTCTCTCGGCTGCCTGTTTTCGTCCTTTGTTCTTTTCTTCTTATTTTTGTTGTTGTTGTTCTTTCTTTCTCGCTTCTTTCGTTCTATTATTATTTTTTGTTTTTTTTGTTGTTTTTTCCTTTGATGGGATTAGGTCAACTAACGCAATATTGGCCTTCTTTTCCTCCTTAGGTTTGATATACCTTTTTTTCCTGTTTCTACAATTAAATTTCCCTTTTTTTTTCCTTCTTCTGAAGATTTTGCTGTCTTTCTTTTCCCTTTTTTTTTTTCTTAATTTATATTTTCTTTACAGTTTCGTCTTTCCTTTTTCTTTTTCTGTTTTTTTTTATTTTTTATTTTTGTTTTTTCTTTCTTTTTTTTTGCGACTGTATTTCACGCCTGCTCTGTTTTCCTTTTTTTTTACTTTGCTGGTGTAAAAACGCCGAATGATAAAAACGCAGCCCTTTTTTCTTTTTTTCTTTTATTTTTCTTTTCTTCCTCTGTTACTACGCCCCAGTGAAAGATATATAGCTGTGGGGTAATATGAGTGTTGTTTGTGTGAAAGAGCAAGAGTACACGGAAGAAGAAATACAAAAGAGGAAAAACACCCGGCAGGACTCCAGTCGGATAAAGTAAGAAATGATAATAATAATAATAATAATAATAATAATAATAATAATAATAATAATAATAATAATAATAATAAAGGATACTTTTCTTTCTGCTAATATCCTTTTTTTTTCTTTTTGTTTTTCGTATTCCCGTTGTTGTTGTTTTTTTTTTTTTTTTTCTTGTTGTTGTTGCTGTATTCCTCTCCTTCACGTTTAATTACCAAATGGTGTACGCTCTTCAAAGAGAAAAACGCAAAAACAACAAGTGAACACCTATATACGTTTGTTTGTATTTATATTTCTTTGTTTGTGTGTATATGCAAAAAAAAAAAGAACACAAACAAAAACAAATAAATAAAATAAATAAATAGAGAGAGAAAGAGAGAGAGATTGTTTGTGTATCAATGGGAGTGTATGTATGTGTGTATGCAATCACGTAATCACGTGAGAGATGTACGCTGTGGGGTGAGGGGAGAGAAGAGAGGGGGTGGGTAAAGCGAGCGAGAGAAAGTAAAGTGGGTTAGTGAGAGAGAGAGAAAAGAGAAAAAAAACAATTTTTCTTTATTTACTACAATATATATATATTATTTTTTTTTTTTCGGATTCTTTTCTTTCCTTTGTAGCACCTATTTGATCTGTTTGTTTTGTTTCTTTCTTTTTTCTTTGTTTGTTTGTTTTTTCTTTTTTTTTTTTTTAGAGGGGACTTCCTCAATAGGGTTTAGCCGTAAAGAACAGAGAAGAGAAGAAAAGAGAAAAAAAAAAAGTGTGAGTGAGTTCATATATGAGATCTGTGAATAAGAGAAGTCCCTCAGACTCCTGCCAATAAATAAATAAATAAAAGGGATTGGATGAATATAAAATAATGGCAAATAACAATAGCAACAAGAATGGAAGAAAAAAGAAAAGAAAAAAACATAAACACACATACACACACACACTATATATATATATATATATATATTGATAAATCCACTTTAGGCACAGCAACCATATCTCCCACTAGAGCCACCTGATTCTTTATCTTCACTATTACTTCCATTCCCTTTCGGGGCTGCACGTAAATCCACCACCCCGCGTTGTATTTTTCCATTTCGTTGTCTCTTATCATCATACATGTAATCTTCCTTTGAGAGTGTATGAACACCCACAGACTCTCTTCCAGTGGTTGTAGATGGATTTGTTCGTCTCGCTCCTTTAACCACTTTACCTTCTAATACTCCTTCTTCTCCCTCTCTCTTTTCTTCTTCATTTTCATTTTCATTATCTTCTTCAATGCGTAAATGTCCTCCTCGTCTTCGTGGTCGTCTGGCTAAGGCATCTACACTACTCCCACCATAAACTCCTGTTGTTGATGTTGTTGTTGTTGTTGTTAATATCATCTTCTTAGTGGATGTGGATTGGGCGATGGCGGTGGCTAATGCTCTAAATGCCTCTATTACATTCATTCCTGTCTTTGCACTTGTGGTGAAGTGTAGGGCGTTGTGTTCCTTTGCAAATGCCTCAGCCTCCTCTTGCGTGATATCCCGTTCCTCTTCCCGATCGGCTTTATTTCCACAAATCACGAGTTGAATATTATCTCCCACCACAGCCCGTAGTTCTCTTATCCACATATGCACCTTCTCCAGGGTATCTGCATCTGTGATGTCATACACCAACATAGCTCCATGGGCATTGCGGTAATAAATAGGCCCTAAAGCATGAAATCTTTCCTGTCCAGCTGTATCCCATATTTGCAGAGATACCGTTGGTGTTGTTGTTGATGATGTTGATATCCCACTATTATTATTATTATTATTATTATTATTATTATTATTATTATTATTATTATTATTAGTCGTATCCAGTAGGGGTACACGGGCGCTAGTATACATACCTGCCTGGGTGGTACTCCGTGTATTGGGATCGAAGGTGTTCTCTACAAAACGAGAGACAATAGAAGTCTTTCCAACACGTCCCTCACCGAGCAGTACAACTTTATATATACTAGTCATTTAATACAAAAAACTAATCGTGTACAATAAATAAATACCAAATAATAGTAAATAATTATTATAAGTAATGATTCTTCTAATAATTCTGGAATCAATATATATATATATATAAATTCCTTGAAGACTAATAATAGAATGAATCCCAGATAATAGGTGTATAGAGCACGCTATCTATATGAAAGAAGAAGAAAGAAAAAAAAAAAAGAAGAGAAACGTCTATAGTGATTACAAGGCTTTATAAAACAGTAAAGGAAGATAGATAGAAATTTTACATCAATATATATATATCTTCTCTTCTATGATTACATTTAGTGTCAAGGTAAACCGTCACTATCACTATTAAAAGTCCCGTAGAAACCAAACGAAAGAAGACACTAAGAAAAGATTTATCTCATAAAAACACATGAACTACTTTTTCTTCTTCTACTACCACTGTAAATAGAAGCAGCAAGAGAGAGAGAGAGAGAGAGAGAGAGAAAAAAAACAATACGGCTCCAATAATACCAAGTAGTCCATCAACAATAATAACCACAACTAATAATAATAATAATAATAATAATAATAATAATAATAATAATAATAA